TTGGCTTCTTTGTTCAGAACGCACCGTTGGCAGCGCTTGCCCTTCCTTGCTCCCTTCAACTCTAATCAAGCAGCACCTCCGCGCAAGAAGCACAGGTGCAGGGATTCCATTGCACTCAGTGAGGTAGGAATAGCCCCCGTCTGCCGGCAAACCGCTCAAGCATACAAGAACTGCGGCACCAGCAAGTATATCCAAACCCCTCCCGGAAAAAAAGAAGAAGAAAGAAACAGAGAAGAACCGAACCGCCCCTCTAAAGGTCTGGGACATTGCGCAACTGAGAGAGAGGTATGCGGCTGCGAGTCTCTGTGGATGAGCGCAATCCAATTCGCACCATTGTGAAAACCATGGGAACCATTGTTTGTTGGTTCTACAGGGGAATCGTCCCTGCAGGTTTCTTAGGTGGTGCAGGATTTCGTCCATCCACAGTATGGTCAGGCATGGACGGCATCCCTGCCTCAAGGACGAAGGTCTCTGCTTGCTGCGAAGGTTCCGGCAACCACTGCGACTCCAGTTCCTGCCCGAAGGAATGCACATGCCACACCCGAGTTCCCACCGGCAACATGCACGCGCAAAACCATTTATTGCGCGTACTTATGAGGCTGCAATGAGGCTGCACACACGCACAAAACATGCAATACATATGCGTGTGCCCAATTACCTGTACTTGTAGATGCCTACGCATATAAATACATGCGTGCGTTCGTGCGAGCCTGCTTGCGGGGTCAATCTAAAGGTAGCCGATGCTTCTGAGCAACACAGAACCCTTTGCATGGCTGAGCGAGACAACACTGGCAGCTGCACCAGCGCTGAGCCGCGATGATAATGTCGACCCCGGAATAATAAACTCCTGTTTATTAATATGGGGGTGTTCCTCTCCAAAAGTGATGAATCCCCACTAAAACCGAGGACACGCCCATATTGATAAACATGGGTTATTAATCTGGGGTCGACATTAGCCTCTTGGGCAACATATGCACGGGGATACTTCTGGCTTGTACCCACTCCAGTGCCCAGCTTCCTGTAAAGGACATCAAAAGGGTACCCATTTTTCTGTAGTCTTTTTTAGTAGGGGAACCCTCCCCCAAAAAGGGTAAAAAGGCACTACTGGGGGACCTAGAAAGGCCCAGAACACGTAAACTGACATATACTGTATACTCACGTCCTCTAGGACCCTACTACAGGCTGGGCCGCTTCATTGCCGGAAGATCCGTGCAACAGGGCAGCGCGGCAAGGTCATCACACGCTGTGCAGCCACTTGACACATCTGAAGTCATGGGCACTTAGCGGGCGGCCTAGGTTCACCAAATACCTGACCAGGATACCCTACAGGTGCAAAGCACATCCACACATGCACCACGCACCAAGCATATGCAAGGGGGCACCAATCTGCAACTCATCATGCCATCTGGGCATGTTACTATAGCTCAAAAACGAAACATGAAGAATGCAAAAGCAAGGAGGCTTCATGATGGATAAGCTTGCTTTCGTTTACCTAAGGTATTGCAGGTGCCGCATGAAGCAGTTTTGAGCCTCTCTCGTGTAGGTCTCGTCAAAGAGGAAGGCGTCAGGCTCCTGTTGGCCGAGGATGGCTAAGGATCCGGCTGGCTATACGGCGGCGTCTCTTCTTCGGGGTTGCGCTGATCAATGCTTGCATTGATCAACCCCACCCCTAACCTTGTCACTGGGTCAGAAAAACAAGATGGGGCCGTTGAAGCTCCAAGCCGAGCCATCCGAGCCCACGCAAATCACAGCGATTGGAATCAATTTCTCAGGCTTCGTAGCTCAAACTCACGGAGAGTTTGAAGTTGCCAGTTAGCGTCTTCAGCCCCGGTTGGTTGATTCTCCTTTTCTGGACGTGATCTGTTGGCAGAAGAAGTTCCTGAGAAAGGCAGAAAGGCAGAAACTCGCTTTCTCTCTGGACAGGCCTTCCAAATCTAGCAAAACCGTGCGAGCAAGTTCCTCCCCAACAGCTTGCACACTTTCTTGGTTGATTCAAGGAGAACCCCCCCCCCCCTCCCCCCGGCACTAAAAACAGAAGCGGGTGTCACCATGTGTCACCCAGGAGGGGTAAAAAACAAAAAAACAACGCACACATCCTCCGCGACCTGCTGGGCCAGATTGATGATCTGGTCGAAGTCCTGAAATGCCAAAGGCTTCACCAAACCCCGTGGGTCATCTTGCTGGTGCTCAGCAAGGAATGAGGGATCCGGGAACGACCCTTATAAACCATTCCTTGTGGCTTCCCTACTGGGCACCAGCAAGCCATAGCTACGGCAGCTTGCTACAAGGTTGAATGGTCGGGTGTTGCCTCGTTCGCCAACCCTCCTGTTTGGACTCATTGATCTCGTTGTCCAAAGGCGACTTTTCAGTCCCAGGAATCCTGGAAAGCATACTAAGCGATTGCCTTTATTTTCAGAAGACTACTGCAGGCTGGGCGGAAGCATATGTCAGGTTCCACGGTGCTGCACAAGGTATGAACACCCCCAAACGGAGGGCCATCAAACGGATGTCGACCTGGGGTAAAAAGAGGCTAATGGTGCCCACCTCAAACCAGGTGCCGCATGGGTGTGTCTTTTAGGGGGACCCTAAAATTATGTGTTTTCATGTTTTTTCTTTTGGTGTCCCCTTAAAATCAACCAAAAAGAGGGTTCCCAAAAGACAACACATCCACATGTCTCAATCACTTCCCTGATTTTTGTTTGTCCAGATCTGGCCGACTTCCTTGGGATGCATCTTTCGGATTGCCATTGTTGTGCTTTCAGAACCCCCATGAGAATCATTATGCGATAAACGCCATATTATATACTTTGCTCTCGCCGCGTTTGGCGAAAGAATCTAGACCGTTCATCCCGGTTGAAAAAGTACAAAGGAAAACCCCAAATTGACACCCCCGACTACACCAATTGTAAAGCAATACTAAACAATCCGAAACCACACTAAGCCAATACTGAAGAATACTGCGGAAAGGGGGGGCCCTCATAGACGGCTCGACTGTTCTTGACTGTTTGGGGGGGATCACACATTCTTCAGGGTACCACAATACTTTGCATTTGTGCTTTTTCCTTCTAGTGGACCAACCATCCCGACCCACCCACCCACCCGCACGCAGGCACGCAGGCACGCAGGCACGTATGCACGCACGCACGCACGCACGCGCATACGTGAGCCGCGCACGCGATATCTCCATCATGATTCCCCTATATTCCCCTCCTTTTCCGCCGCAGGACCTTGGTTCGCATCGGGCTGGTTACCACTCAACAGAAAGTCAGGACCACAAGAAGACCCATCTAGTTTGAAGTTTGTGAAAATGTGCCGCAGGCCAAAAAGCGTGGCTACTTGGCACATTGCTCACGTAAAGTGGCCATCCATAAGAGAATGGCCACTGCAGTCCTAATACTAACCATCCCTAACCCCCAGCGGTCAGGTGTTCAACAACACTGGGTTCCACGTCAGCAGCCCCGGGAATCTAGAAGTTGAGCACTGACACCGGGCAACACCTACAATACTTTTGAGGACATGGTTCCCGACTAATGGAGCTTCACCAGGGAGAGCTCACCAAAATACAAAGCAAAACCATGAACTATCGAGCTTGCAAACCTGAACTTGGTCTTTTCCAGCATGTGAGGACGCCCTAAGGCATATGCGGATGCAGCGGGATGTCATTGAACTCCTCCCCCTGGCAACGGGCAAAGCCGGCGTTCCGCCTCGAAGCTATCCTGATTCTTGGATGCGCTAAATGAGCAAAGCCTTGCAAAAAATACACCCCATCAAAGACATGGGTGTGTCTTTTTGGTAGACCCCCAAACCGGTTGCTTTCCTCTTGGTTTCCCTTTACAACCAACTAAAAGGTGGTTCCCCCCAAGAAAAACACACACACACACGCCCATCATACACACTCCGTGCGCGCAACTCTGGGACTGAGCGCTTTGATCTCACACGCTGCTCGCGCAAGTCGGGAGCCTGAGGCTAACTCGTCCGGCCGGATCCCCCGGGCTGAGCCAACAGCGGGCTAAGACTTGGCACACCCGGTCTGTTTTTTTTGATGTTTTGCTTGTTTGTTTTTTTTGTTTAAGTTTTCTTTTAACGGTTGGGGGGGGGTGTATTGAGGAAGACCCTTTTGGTTCTGCTTGCTTCTTCTTCATTTTTGTTTTTTTTGGGGGGTAGTGAGGAAGACCGGCTTGGCTCTGTGCTTTTTTAAAGCGGGCAGAGCCAACTGACATCCGGCTCCAACCAAGACGGCACGCTGACACAAGCTTAGTCTTCGAGTCTTCAACTTCCTTCCTGCATTCCAGCTCGTTTTTTGAAGAAGGCGCCGCCAAACTTAGTGGGAGAGAAATTTCAACCCCAATCCACAAAAAGACAAAACTATTTTGCTCTTACCCCTCTACTGGGTCCATGGGTCGTTTGAGCAACAAGCACGCCAGGGGTCAAGTCGGTCTTTTCTCTCCGCGCGGGTGGGATCGAATCTTCTTCGGACCTGAAGCAAATGGGAGCTTTCCAGTTGACGGCACCTCCCTGAAAAATTCAGCCCGGTTGTCCCTGTGGCGTTGACCCTCCCAACTCAGCAACTCTGATCTTCCAGCTACCCTCCCACAGGTGCTATGTTTGGAGGAAGGGTACCCCTTTGCTCCTCAGTCGGGCTGTTCTTGTTCAGCACAGATTTGCAGGCTTAAATGACCTTCAAGCCTGCAAATCTGTGCTGAATCAGGCGACAGCATGGCTACCCCGTTGGTGAAAACAGGACTCTGTCACCTAAACTAAATTGCATCAGGAGGAATCCAAAGGCACCCCCCATCCCAGGAAAGGTTCTTACAACCTTACTAGAACGGAGATCCAATCGAAAGCTTTGCCCTCCAAACAGGGCTTCGCCATGCGTGAAATCTAAGGTTCATTCACCCCCCCCACCCCCCACCCCACAGAGCCCCAGGAAATCACATAGCTGCCTGAACCTTTGACAAAGCTGCAGGCACTCGTTGCTGACGCTGGCAAAGCGTGATTTTCCCAACGCTTGCCCCGGCTCGCCACAGGCGAAAGCTGACAAGATCAGGCGCAACCTACTGACAAGCCAGGACATGCAACGCAAAGCGGCGCGCTGGTTGGAGCGACCCCTTCCAAACTTTCAGTGAAGTGCTCGCCAAAGGTTAGGCTTTGCAAGGAGTTGGGCAGAATAACTCCTTCAAAGCTTTGGTTGAAGTCCCTGCCGAAAGTCAGACTCTGCAAGCTACTGGGCAGGTCGAACCCTTCCAAGCTTTGGTCAAAGTGCCTTCCGAACGTCAACGTCTGCAAGCTGCTGGGAAGAATAACTCCCTCCAAGCTTTGGTCAAAGGAGTCGCCAAAAGTGAGGTTCCGCAAACTGCAGGGCAGATTGACACCCATGAGCCTTCGGTTGAACAAATCGCCAAAAGTCAGGCTCTGCAAGCTACTGGGCAGATTGAGTTCCTCGAGGCGTTGGTTGAAACTATCGCTAAAAGTCAGGGTTAGTAGGCTGCTGGGCAGGTTCACTCCCTTGAGGCTTTGGTTGAAATCACGCCCAAAGGCGAGTTTCTGTAAGCAGCTGGGCAGAACCGCTTCCGCCAAGCTTTGATTGAATTCATCTCCAAAAGTCAGGCTCTGCAGGCTGCTGGGCAGCAGCACTCCCTTCAAACGTTTGTTGAAACTGACGCCGAATGTCAAGCTCTGCAAGCTGTCGGGCAGATGGATTCCCTCTAGGCTTTGATTAAAGTCAACCCCAAAAGTGAGGCTCTGCAGGCTGGGCCACACGACTCCTGCCAGGCTTTGATTGAAGTCGCCACCCAAAGTCAGCTTCTGCAAGCCGCCGGGAAAGCTGATCTTCTCCAGTGTTTGATTAAAGTCCCTGCCGAATGCCAGGGCCTGCAAGCTGCCAGGAAGCTTCACTCCTTGCAGACTTTTGTTGAAGCAGTTGCCGAAGCTGAGGCTGCGCAAGCTGTCTGGTAGATTCATCGGCAGGCTTGGGTTGCCTAATTGCAAACTCTCCAGGGCGGGCAAAGCCACTCCCTCCAAGCTTCTGTCAAACAAGGGTCCAAAGCTGAGATTCTGCAAGGCCGAAAGCCTAACTTCTTGCAAGCATTGGTGAAAGCGAGCTCCCAGAGTCAAGCTCTGCAGGCTCCGCAAATCAACTTGGTCCAGGCTGTGGTTGAAGCTGACGCCGAATCGAAGGCTCTGCAAACTGCTGGGCATCTTGACTCCATCTAAGCTGTGGTCAAACAAGTCGCCAAAAGTCAGGTGTTGCAAGCTGCTTGGCAAACGGCATCCCTCCAGGCTGCGATTGAAACAGTCGCCCAAAGTAAGGCTCTGCAAGCTGCATGGCAAAGTTACTCCCTCCAGGCTTTGGTCAAAGAAGTCCCCAAAAGTGAGGAACCGCAAACCACCAGGCAGTCTCACATTCTCCAAGCTTTTGTCGAAGTCGCACCCAAAAGTCAAGCTTTGCAAACCGCTGGGCAGATTTATCTCCTCGAGGCTCTGGTCAAACTTTTGACCAAAGCTCAGCGTCTGCAAGCTGTTGGGCAGAGCGGCTCCCACCAGGCTTTGGTTGAATGCGTCCCCAAGGCTTAGGCTCTGCAAGCCTTCGGGAAAGTTCACCCAGCTCACGGGGCTGAAGTCAAGCCTCAGGCATCTCAACGTGTTTGGCAAGCCTTGTGTGACAGAAAGCATGGACTTCCTGGGGCGCCAACACATGCTTGTGACTCCTTCCAGGTGCTCAGCAGCGACGTCTACATCTCCGTGAAGGTGGGCTTGCCGCAGTACATGCCACGTGTTGAGCATATTGGCCGGGCTGTAGGTGAACATGCCATCTGACCACTCCAAGCGCTGCTCCGCCAAGGTCTGGTGGACCGAAAGCTTCCTGCCGCCGAACCAGAGGCTGAGCACACCCCCGGGCCTTGGAGGCAGCTGAGACCTCACCAGCCGCAGCAACTCCTGGGCAGTGACCGCCAAAAAAAAGAGGTTACCCCCCAAAGCTGGGGAGCGATTTTGAGAACCCTCAACACGCTCGCGTTCGGTTTTCGGTCCTTGCCCTGGATGTCTGCATCCGCACTCATGCGCAGCTCCCTGCCATCCAGTCCAGTAATGTGTAGTTCCAAGCGGCCAACTCCAATTGGAACCGGACCTAAATCCGCCTGCATGGCTACTTGAGACCCTCTGTCGCACCAAAGGCCAAAGGCCTCTGCAGTTCTGTGGACCTGCCAAGGTCTGGCGTAACAAGCTGCTTGATCGTTTGGACCTTTGTGTATGCGCTGCATGCTGCAAAGCACTTACTGTAGCATGTGCGATGTGAAACCAAAACCATACGATCGCTTTGGGCTTTGGGCCAGTTCAAGCCAACAACTCGTGCAACAACTCGAGCTACCGGCGAGTTGTTGGCTTGGAGTCAGTGTGTCCAGTTGGCCTGCTGTCTAAGGCAGAGTTTGAATGCCATGCGAAGGCTCAGCCGGAGGAATAAACACATTCAGCGGATAAACAACCTACGCCCAACCGCCTGGAGTTCAAGCAAAGGGCAACGTATGGGCATAAATCGGCATGAATCTTCATGGGGGACCGTTTGGTGGACATGTCCGCCAACCATCTTTGAGGTGGTTCCCTATGAAAATCATTACTTCCAGTGCGGAAAATGCCCAACAAACACAAATAATTGTAAACGCCCCGCATCAAGTTGGTTTTGTCAGTCTCCAACAAACCTGTACAGGGGTGTTGCTCAAATTTTGTGTGATGCCCTCGTGGTGAAAGAGCCCTTGCATCCAGCAAAGACGATAACACGAAGCGTCCGGGCCCAGCTCAACGATCTACCCAACCTAGCCCGCCAACTAGGTGAAGTACCAGGAAGCTAGCTAGTTTGCGTGCAAGCTCACTGTCTAACTCGCTAAGCTAGCTCAACCGGCTATCTTGCCAGCCCAAGCAACAAAAGTAGCCAACTGCCCAGCCAGCCAGCCAGCTGGCTGGATAGCCAACTTGCCTTCATACCTTCGTGAAGGAAAAGACGGAGAACAAAAAAAAAGGCGCGCTTGCGTGCGCTGGCAGTTCACAGAGAGATTTTTTCAAGCTAAAGAATAGAAACTGAGTTTGAAGCCCCCCCTGACGGAGCTTGCCGGACTTCAGTAAGAGGGCTGCGTCCAGCTACCCCGGCACCTACGGTTATAACCTATTAAGAAATTGATCATCCTATGCAATCCATTGGAACCCATTTATTATGTTCACCCAAATCTACCAAGGACGGCAATGAGTTCCCTTGCACGCAGAGCCACCTCAGAATCTCGGCACCGGTTTCTCCCTAACGAGCTAGCGCTGACAATCTGCAATCAAAAGCAATTCAATGTCAAACCGTGACCGGCAACAAACTTCAAGCCGCTGGGCAAATGTACCTTCTCCAGGTTGTGCGAAAAATTGCAGCCAAAAGTCAGGCACTGCAAGCTGCTGGGTAAATTGACCCCCTCGAGGGTTTGGTTGAAGCTTCTGCCGAATGTCAAGTTCCGCAAGTTGCTGGGCAGAATGACTCCCTCCAAGGATTGATTGAAGCAGCTGCCAAAAGTCAGGCTTTGCAAACTGCTCGGCAACTCAACGCCCTGCAGGCTTTGATCAAACAAGTCCCCAAAGCTGAGAGCCTGCAAGGTTTCGGGGAGCTGGACGGCGACCAAGCTGCGGTCGAAGGAAAAGCCCAGGCTGAGGCTCTGCAAGCTCGGCAAAGTGAGGCGCTCCAAGTTCTGGTCAAAGTCTCTGCCAAACGTCAGACTCTGCAGGCGAGGCAGAGTGACGCCTTCCAAGGCTTGGTCAAACCTCCTTCCGAAGATTAAAGTCTGCAGGCTGGGGATGCTGACGCCCGCCAAGGGTTGGTTGAAATTATCGCCGAACGCCAGATTCTGCAAGCTGCTAGGAAAATTCACACCCAACAAACTCTGGTTGAAGCCGGAACCAAAAGTCAAGCTCTGCAAGCTGTTTGGAAGGTTGACTCCCTCCAAGCCTTGGTTAAAAGAGTTGCCAAAACTCAAGATCTGCAAGCTCGCCGGCAGGTTTACTCCCTCCAAGCTTTGCTGATAGCTGTTGCCGAATGTTATGCTTTGCAGGCTACTAGGCAAGTTCAGCCCCTTCAAGCTTTGATCAAACAAATCACCGAAAGTCAGAGTCTGCAAGCTGCTGGGCAGATCAAATTCGACTGCTCGATTGAACTCCCTGCCGAAAGCCAAGCTTTGCAAGCTGAGCGCAGAAATTCGTTTGAAGCTTTGATCGAAGGAGCCAGCCAAAGTCAAGTTCTGCAAGGCCAAAGGCAGTGCCATTTCCCGCAACCGTTGGTCACAGCGAACGCTGATCGTCAGACTCTGCAAGCTGGGTAGATCAAGTTTCTTCAGGCTTTGGTTGAAGGCGTCCCCCAAAGTGAGGTGCTGCAGCCCGCTGGGCAATGCAATGCCCTCTAAGCTCTGGTTGAAGGAGTTGCCAAAAGTCAGGATCTGCAAGCCGCTCGGCAGATCGACGTCCTCCAGGCTATGGTCAAAGTCGCTGCCAAACGTCAGGCTCAGCAAGCCAGCAGGCAGAATCACATCCTCCAAACTTTGGTCAAAGGCGTCGCCGAAGGTCAGGATCTGCAAGCTGCTCGGAAGATGGACTCCCTCCAAGCTTTGGTCAAAGTCGCTGCCAAACGTCAGACTTTGGAGGCTGCCAGGCAGGCGGACTCCCTCCAAACTTTGGTCAAACAAGTCCCCGAAGCTCAGGAGCTGCAAGTTTTCGGGGAGATCCACTCCCTCCAGGCTGTGGTCGTACAAATCACCAAAGCTCAGGCTCCGCAAGCTGCTGGGTAAACGCACCCACTGCAAGCTTTGATTGTAGTCCCTACCAAAAGTCAAGCTCTGCAAGCTGGGAAGACTGATCCCCTGCAGGGGCTGGTTGAAGGCATCCTCAAAAGTCAGGCTTGTCAACGAGGCCGGCAATCCCGCGATTCCCTTTCTCAGCGCCCAGCACATCGATGTGACTCCTTCCAGGTGTTGGCTGGCATCGACGGCATCTCCCACATAACCGTTCCTGGGCTGCCCTCAGACCCCCCCGCTAAAAGTTTAACTCTTAGTGGGTGAAATGGAAACTACCACTAAACACCAAAGGGCTAAAAAGCTCAGGAACCGGATGGCTGGGAGGTAATGTTGGACCTCCTTTTTTTCATAGTACTCGCTATTGTGGAAATTTTTGTCTAATTCAGAATCCTGTGACTGTTTTAGGGGTTCTCTATTGTGGAAAGTTTGTTGCCGGAAACAACGCTGGGAAAAATATGGGCAAGCAAGTCGGACAAAAAAACAGGCAACCAAATCCTGGCCAACATTGGGAACTTGTTTTCTTGAAGTGGTCCCCAAACCATCAAATTTAAGATAACTTCTTTCCACAGATCCTCTTTAATGCGACTGTTTTGGGGTCCTCTTTAGTGTCCAACTGGTTTTGGGGGTTGCTGAAAAAACGACCCTTGGCAATACTAAAGTAGAATTGGCAATACTAAAGTAAGTACTGGGGATCTGAGAGTCAGCTTTGGCAATACGAAAGTAGAATTGGCAATACTCCGCCGACCCCGCCTAGGAGCGTGCTCTGGCGGGGCGGCGCCTGGGATACCGAAGGTCTCATCGAAGGGCCGCCGAAAGTCTCATCGCGTGCGTGCCTGCGCCTCTCGCTCCTGTCGCTCCTGGGCCGTCGCTAGTCTTCCGAACGGGTTCCGAAACTGCGCTTCCGGCACCCTCCGCGCGCGCCTTTTCGCTCCATTTTTGGTACTTTTCGGCGGGCCGTGCCTGGGCTGGTTTGGCCCTGTCGCTCCTGGGCCCCTGCTAGTCTTCGTAACGGGTTCCGAAACTGCCGTTCCGGCACCCTCCGCGCGCGCCATTTTTGGTACTTTTGGGCGCGCCCTGCCACTGCGCTTGGGCGTTTCGGGGGGCGCGGGGGGGGGCGCCTGCCCTTTGCGTGGCCAGCCGTGCCTGGGCTGGTTTGGCCCTGTCGCTCCTGGGCCCCTGCTAGTCTTCGTAACGGGTTCCGAAACTGCCGTTCCGGCACCCTCCGCGCGCGCCTTTTCGCTCCATTTTTGGTACTTCTGGGCGCGCCCTGCCACTGCGCTTGGGCGTTTCGGGGGGCGCGGGGGGGGCGCGGCCCTTTGCGTGGCCGCGGCCCGGCCGTGCTTGGCCCGTCGCTCCTGGGCCGCTGCTAGTCTTCGTAACGGGTTCCGAAACTGCCGTTCCGGCACCCTCCGCACGCGCCTTTTCGCTCCATTCTTGCCGGCACTTCCCAGCTGCGGCGCTCACATTGTCGCCCGGACGGCTTGCTGTGCGCAGCTTGGATCCGTTTGGGCGCAGCTCGGATCCGCCCAAACGGACGCGAGCTCCGCACAAGCGTGCCACAGTTCGGGCATGCATGCTGGTAGGTGCATGCTGGTAGGTGCATGCTGGTCGGTGCCGCTGCAGGACATGGACGCTGACTGCCCGCAAAAAAAACAGGGTCGGCGGCACCCGGGCGTAGCCCGTTCGATAAAGTAAGTACTGCCCCTCCCGGACCCCCAAAATCTCACTAAAGAGAGCCCCGCCGACTGGTTCCACTGTTCCAGGGGGGGTCACAGTCAAGAGAGTCTACCAAGGTTCAGGTCGATTTGCTTCAGCAGGTTCCACGCCTTCAGGACGTCGGTCTGAGCGTATGTGAACATGCCGTCCGACTCCAAGCGCTGCTCCGCCAAAGTCTGGTGCACCGAAAGCTTCCTGCCGCCGAACCAGAGGCTGAGCACACCCCCGGGCCTTGGAGGCAGCTGAGACCTCACCAGCTGCAGCAACTCCTCAGTGACCGCCAAAAAAAAGAGGTTACCTCCCAAAGCTGGGGTGTTTAAGGGGGAACCACCCAAAGCGATTACCAACTGATTGACATGGTTTGCCAGCTGATGGTGTACCATGGCTTGCCCCAAGAGAACCAAGATTGACAGCCTCAACACGAAAATTACCCAACTGATGGCAAAGAACCCAACAACAATCCAAGTTTCAAATCCCCGAAGATTGCCCCCCCGTAAATCAAACCACCGGACTTGCGAAGCAATTTTTGAGAAATCATGATCAGAGTTAGGCCCAGTTATAGAATGTATATTTCATTGTTTGCTTCACTTTGAGTCACGGGTAAAATGTAAGATGTATTCTAAGTCTACCCCAGAAATGAGCCGTCCTTGCCCTGGATGCCTGCATCCACACTGAAGCACAGCTCCCTGCCATCCAGCCCGGCAATGCGCAGTTCCATGGCAGCGGGATCCGCTCGACCCGAGTGCATCTGCATGGCTGGGGCGGGGGAGAGGGGAGGGGGGTTCTACAGTTGCTATCTGGGCCTGTCTTTTTTCCTGAACATACCCTTCTGGAGGTCAGTTTGAAAGGAAAACCAAGGGGAAGCCATGAATTCTGGTGTCTCAAGCTTTGAGACAAACGAATCTAAACCAAAAAACATGAATCAAGCCTTCAAGGGGTCTCAACTCAACCGGTCTATTTCAGGGAACTCCTAGTCACCTCCGTCCGGAAAGGTGAATCAAAGCGCCCTTCAAAAGACGGACGGCATTCCCTTCGCCCATCAACCTATGACCTATGGGGTTTGGGGGCATGTTGTAGTCCTGTTGTGATGCGTCTGTGTCCAAAAGGCCTGCCTGCAGCAATTTCCCCATCGCTTTTCAGCAAGGCTTCCACACAGTGCTCTTGACTTCCTGCCCCGCTTCAGCGTGAGGACGGGCTAAACTTTCAGCAAGCTCAACAACTGCCTAAGTCAAATATGCAGCAAGTAGTCTCTTAAGTCCAGCCAACAGTCTGCTGAAGAAAAGAACCTGCGGGTGGACTGCATTGCACATGACACTGGGGGCAACAAGTTACGTATCAATGAGGGGTGTGCGAAACACGCCGGAAGCCAGTCTGCACCACCTAAATGGTGTCTACAGGAGAACACTTTGCACAATTAAGTTTATCTTCCTTTTGCCGAAGGTACGGCTTAAAGAACAAGGCTTGTACCAGTCATGCCCTCGAAAGCCAACGGGGATATGAGGAAATCAGCGAATGAACATGCCCAGTGACCTCTTTGAGCCGACCGAGGTCCCTCTTAGCTTGATCTTGTCAGCTTTGGCCTTGCAACTGCTTGGCTGCTGTTGACCCCCCTTGCAAAAAGTTTAACTTTTTGGGGGGGTTAGTGGAAAACACATTTATTTCCCAAACAAATTAAAGTCTAAAGATCCAACCCAATAGCAGTCAAGACTGGCCTTGCATCTTGGTCGTGATTTGCTGGCCCCCCTTCTTTGGGCACTGGCCGGGCACGTAAGTCACCTCATATCAAAAGGCAGGTCCTGGGACTCCCAAAGGGCAAACTCATTGAGGCTGAACTCCAGGCATCTTTCAAAGCAAAGATGCCATTCCCGGCTGAGTGTCCGAGGGTTGCATGGCGATTAGGCTGGTGATGCGCAAACAATGTGAACCGTTGGCTTCTGATTGCGCCATTCATTGCCTTCGTGGTTGAGGATGATAATTCCCGATTCACAAATTTCGCAAACCCCATTTGACAGAACACTTGGCTCCGCGCGGCGCGCGGCGCGCCTAGCAGGAGGAGGAGGATGTAGAATTGCTGTGTAAACATATGTGAACTATGTGCATATATGCGAGATGCAAGTAAACGTGGGTAAGCTAGTGGTGTGAAATGCAGTGTCTCGAATTCCTTCCAAAAACAATAGTTGCTGGGTTTTTGCCAGAAACCAACAGTCTTCCGCAGTGCTGCGGCCGGCACATTGGAGATCAAGGATTTTAGCTTGGAGAATCTGTGCAATCTTTCTTTTTTCCAGGGCCCAAACGGGTTCTAATACATGAGCTGTGGATGTGCCCGTCCGCCCATGCGGAAATTAGGGTCATTCACCTTGGGGAACTCACCGTTCTGATTTGGCATGGGTCAAAATCACGTACCCCCAGTGAACATCCCAATCCCCACTAAAACAGACTAAAATGGGTGGTGCACCTACCCCAAAATGGTGCCATTGGATTTGACCCACGGCCATTTACCAATTCCACCACCATGGCCCTCACGCTGAGCCCGCGCCAAATTGCGCCTTGGTGCTTCTCCCATCATGGCAGGCCACCCATCTCTCTCCAAGTAGCTTGATCCAATCGGCCAACGACCCGTTCGCAAACGTAAATGCCAGGCTTCTTGGTTGACGTTGGAGGGGGAGCCAAAATTACTTTTTAGCAGTTAAGTGGGTGTTTCCACTAAACCACAATAAGCAATAATGTAAATGTTTCCCAACAATAACCATGCTTTGGCCAAACGGATGGAATTCCGGTCAGTTGCGAACCTGGGAGACTGCATGTTGCCCACTTTTGAGAACGCATTCTTAGCATAGCTGCCGGATGAAACGCCACAGTGCCTGGACTTGGCAAGACACCGGCGAGCTTCCAAACGAGCTCACTTGCTATGCAGGCCCCTCGCTCACTCGGATCTTGTCGTCCTCCACAAACCTGGGGGCGGGCTTCGGCACAACGCGGCTCGGCGGCGATGGACGGCACGGGCGAAAAAGATTGGGGCATGAACTGGAGCATCCCCACTTCGTTTTTAACATGGCCGCTGGGCATTTGCCTCGGGCTGCAACCAGGTCTCAATGTGTCAATGGCATCGTATGAAATATTTGGCGATACCTTGACAGCATTCAGTCCATTCATGAGGAACTACCACGTCTGACCCTGGCTGCCTTTGACACTTATCAAAGCCGCACACGGGTCCTGCGAGGCCTTGGCGAACGAAACCCTTAAGTCAAGTATGGCCATGGCCGCCGTCGGAAGCCTTATCATAATCCTAAAATGGCCTACCCGGAACCCATGTAAAGAATTAACAAGGCGGCTGCACCCATTCATGGTTGGGATTATCCCTTACTAACCTTCATCTGACTGTGGCTCATGTTTCGTCAACCGTATACTCTGGGTGACCATCCCTACTTGATGCCTAGTGGTTGCCTGGTCTGCTCCTTGTACAACTCCAGGGGGCCGTTCAACTTTCTGAATTTCTGCACTGACTTCTTGCTTGGCAGCATCACAGCTTGCCTCCCACAAATTCCCGTGGAACCTGACGTTCGGGGGGTCCTGGTTTGGACCATTGTCCTTTTAAAGGGACCACTTCCCGAACGTCAGGTTCTATGCGTTAATTGGCGGGAGGGTGATGTTCTTCTTTTGTCTCTTCCTTCTTTCTTGCTTGTTTTCTTGCTGGTGCTCAGCAGGGAATGAGAAAGGGAATGAACCTGAGGATTCCCGAATAAACAAAACCACCAGTTGGATGGTTTATCTCGAGGTCATTCCATTTCTCATTCCCTGCATCTCTTGCACCAGCAAGTTTTGTCTGTTCCTTCTTTGACAAAGGCCTGGATCGTGCCGCCGATCCGAGCCCTTGTCTTGGCACCTTAAAACACTGATTTAAACAACCTCCTTGTGGCCTACCGCAAGAGGTACCAAGGCCTAGAAGAAAACAACCGTCGTGTGCGAATACGTCCCCTGGAACAAAATAGAACATATGTGCAGTACTGCTCAATTCCCTTCAAAACCAACAGGGGTTTGTTGAAAAACATTTGTGCTTCAGCAAATGGAAGCATTTCAATCCCCAAGCCGGCCGTTAAAAAGCTGAGCGTGTGGCTCCTGTCCCTGCAGGCGATTCCAAATGCCGGGCACCTGGCGCAAGGGCCATCGGAACAACTCGCCGATTTCTGCCCCGTGCCATGCTTCTTGGACCAAGGGTGGATAGTTCGCTGGGGTTTTGCAAAAAAAAAATGCCAAGGAGAGCTTGTTGGACAACGGGCCGTGGCTTCAGAAACCGTCGATGCAAAACAAACAAAAACATAGGCCAAGGACTACAAATTGCCCCTCGCTGCGCTAACATCTTCTGCATAACTGTCAACTACCCTCATGCCATACAGTGAGCTCATCCCCGTCCAAAGCCAATCCGACGAATCTTGACGCGGTTCCTGAAAAGACCTGAGATTCTGCGAAATCACCTTGCAAGGGTTTGGGGAATGAACCTAAAAATGCCCCCTCAGACGGCTCATGGCGGGTTCTCACGTTCTGGCTTGGCGGTTACCAGCCTAATGGACCCGTAGCCGACCAGGTGGCCGCGCTTAGGCCAGTCGGGAGGTCACTCCATGAGTCAGCTCCCACTTACTCTTCAAATATACATGGAATGGAATCTCAAACACCGAGCTATATAGGCGGAAACGCCTGTTGAAAAAACCTTGTTGTGGGCTCCGTGTAAAAAAGCTGTGGGGCAGTATTTGGCGACTGGGATTGAATCACCACGTTTGGTTTCCCTTTTGAAAAACCAGGGTTTGGTCGCTTCAACCAATTTCGCCACATGGCCACGTCAACCCCGGGATTCCTACGGGCTGTGTCCCAAAATGAAGGATTCCCTCCTACATGGGGCGGGCGTCTGAATCCTGGATTCCCGTCACGATCGGTGCGAAAAGCTCGACATGTGTTTCTTCTTAGTGGAAGAGACTCATCATCCATTCCCGAAAAACTAAATAAATACACATATTTCCAGTAGTGATAGATTCCCTTTCAAACCAACAGGGGGAAAATATAAAATACTCTTAACCAAATGGAAGCCTTACTTCAACCCCAACTAAAACAAGGACCAGACGAACTTCCAGGACCAAATGAAATATAAAATATTCATTTCACCAAATCGAAGTCATTGTGAAGGTCTCCGGAGAAACCCTCAGCTGCACCTCAAAAACCCGCCTGGTGCGGCATTTGGCCTCCGTGAGGAGTGGCCCTCAGCGGGAAAAAAAAACCTCCGGGAGGTCTTTGCGCGTATGCCCGTGGAATGACGGACGCATTTGCAAAAGCCTGTTTTTCCCCAACAGCTGAAAGCTTTGGGGTCTCAGCCCAGATAGGCTCCGGGGTGGTCCGGGGCGGCCCTGAGGTAAGGTTCGACGAGGGTTCTACCAGGGTTCCACCAGGGTTCCACCAGGGTTCCACGAGGGTTCCACGAGGTTCTGCGAGGGCTGCGGGGTGGTGCGAGCACCAAAAAAACAGCACCGCATTCTGTTGGGGATATCACCTGAGCTTATTTTGTGATATGGGTGTGGGTCAAAAATAGGTAACCAAAATGCAACCCTGGTTAATGGAAACAAGGACTCAAACCTGCGGTCGCCTGGTGGTATGATTTTGACCCGTACCCACATGCCATAACTCCCACAATAGGTGATGTTGATCGCCCAGGCCGGGGAACATAAGGATGCTTGGCGTACTGTTGGACAACCGGCCGAAAATAGTAGACTGTGAAATGAACAGCCGACCAGTTGGGGGGCCCCACCCGTTTCAATTTTTAGACACGGCAATGTGTCTCAAATGCAACCCCTGTTTGGTTTCCTCTTTGGACTCAGTGTAACAAAGGCGGGAACTTTCCAAGCTTTGTGCAGTAGACACTCTGTAGGCCTCCGTCCGAGCAGGTTTGAATCTATCACAGAAACACCGGAGATCGCGAATATATGGCAGCTTGATCACTGTTCAGGTTGAGCTCCAGGTCACAAAAAAAAAAAAAAAAAAACCAAGCCCCTCCTGAGACCACCTCCACTGACGAAGTAGAGCCGGAAATTAGTTGTGTTTGTTCTTCAAAGGAGTTTAACAAGGAGATATGGGAGTTAAGGGCTCGCTGGAAAAGAAGGTGACATGTGGGAGGGATATGCCTTTTCCACATTTGTTGACCTCAGATTGAGCAACCTTTCAGACTAACAGGGACATGTTCCACCCTACCTGAAGGATTGGAACTCACTCCCCGCCTTTTAACCAACCCAACAGGAGAACGGTTCCCGCTGCCGGGTCAACAGAACTTCTGAACTGACAGGGCTCCCTATATTTCCCCTCAAAGCATCACCCCTGCCAAGGGAAACTCACCTTCAATGGGCCAGAAAGGTGATGCTTAAAGCTACCAAAGAGGGAAATATAGGGACCTCAGTTGTTCAGTGACCCGGGGAAAAAAAAAGGGACCCCTTTTCGGGGCTTGGACCCTTGTTAGCGGGGCGAATTCCCCCCCCCCCAAAAAAAAAAGAGAGAGAAAACCGGCTTGGCGCCACTGAAGAACTGAGGGGCCCATCTGAGGCCATGGGGCGAATAGATGACGCCCAGCGAGCACTCGAAGCCCTTCTTCTTCGCGCCGTTGCCCCCGAGGATCCAGAGACCATTCGTGCCTAGCTAAGCTCGGAGCGCTCTGCAAGCGGTCCCAGTGCAAGGCACACATGTGACTTCCAAAAAAAAAAACCGAAGCGAACCCCACGGCTTTTGGATTCTTCCCCCAAGAGCAAAAACTTAAACATTGGTTTGTATTGCTTACTCCCCCCCCCAACATAATTACCCATGGTTTGGCTTGTTTAGGCTTGTTTGCTTAGCCCCCTCACCAAACCATGCAAATTCTGCTAAAATTCCAGAAGCCGAATCAAGGATCGGATCCCCAAGTAGGACTCGGAGAGCTCGCTCCAAAACAGGCGCAGAAGAGGCGCAGAAACCCATGGATTGTGCTCCAATCCACACACCCGTGGTTGGGATTTCTGATACCCCCCCCAAAGGAAAAACACAAGTTTTGGATGGTTTCTTCCCCCCCCAAAAAAATAAATAAAATAAAAATGTTGGATCCTTTACTCCCCACCCACCCCCCCTCACAAAGCCATGGATCGTGCCCCCAAGCGTTGTAGTGGTTTCAGTTGGCTTCTTTTGGCTGGAAGCCGCAGGCCACCAGCACAGCTCACTTCCCATGTGGATCGCCCGAAAGAAGTCGCCAAACTTTGGTGGTTTGAACCACTAGAGGCCACAAACAAAAACCCATGAACATGCCACACCTAAGCCAAAAAAAGCACGAGGGTTGTTGGGGAATGGTCCAAACCCAAAAAGCATAAAGTCCATGAACTCAGGAAGCGAGATAGCCGTGGCTGGGGTTGCCGGGGTTGGTCCCTTGCCACGGGAACCAACCTACTGAATTCTTCGAAAACTGACTTGGAACGCCACAAACACAAAAACATATCATGTTTGTTTTGGGTGCCCATGCTAATTTTCTCAAGAGCGGATCCTGCCTGAGTAGAGCCAGTACTTACCACCCATCTGCTGCCACAGCGGGTTGCTGTTCGCAGATTCCCCAGCCATCAGCACATACTCGCCTCAGTCGCGCAGGGACGTACTGCGCTTCAAAAGGTTGAAGTGCTTGTGACCAGGGATCCTAGGAATCTGCTCGACCATGCAAAAGCCTCAACTATTTCTTGAAAAAGAATTTGTCCATTGAAGTGAGCCTCAAAATTTACCTCTAATTGGTGGTTTTGACGGACACCACCCAAGCAGTATATTTTTAAGAACCCCTCAACATGTTCTCAAGGGACCCAGAAGGATCTGGGCAAGCTCCTGCCTGTCCGGAAACAAACCTGGCTGAGGCCCCGTCCGCCACAGTTCTGCTGCCCGTTGGGGGACGACACATGCAGCTTGGCGGGCTTTGCGATGGACGACGTAGACGTCACCTGCGTTGGAGTCAGCCCTGTCGGCAAAGACAAAGAACGCAGGTGCATCTCAAACCAGCGCAGCTTGCGCGCCTTGATGCTGTCGTCCTGGCTGTGATCATGTGCGCTGTTGCCGTCTTTTGCCCCTTGCCCGCTGCCGAATGTTGGAAAACACCTTTTTCTGGATGCCTTGTGGACAGGTTTTGTAGGACCCTTCGCCTACCTGGGCAGGTCACAAATGCCTTAACCTCCCTTCAAATGGGCTACCAGTACTCGTGGCCCAGTCCTGAATCATCTTCTCGCCTTCCAGCCTCTGCCAAGAAGCAAAGACCTTGGAAGCGCCCCGTGGTGCCAATGCTGCAGGAACACGCAAAGGTTGACTAACGTCTTAGTCTATCCTCATCTGTCTGCAAACAGCCTGTGACGAAGCAGCAGGGAGGGGGGTTGACGTCATGGTGCCCTACTTGGGGACCCTCAAAGGCAGCACAGAGTTTGGAAGCCAAGTGCAAAAGAACGATGCTGCCCTCCAAAACAAGACTAGTGCAGCAAAATGCCGGAACCTTCCATTTGCTTAAGTCCCCTGGGCAAAACTGCAGAAATGTCCAGTAGTGATAGATTCCGTTTTGAACCAACAGGAAAAATAAACATATTCTTCAGTTCAGATCCCTGCCTAGCCACAAATGATTCAGCTGGCTGTTTCAGATTCTCAGCTCACGATCAAGCTTCAATCCCCGCAATGCTGCTCAATTTTGGGCGGGCACCAAGACATAAGCTCGAGTTGCCAAGCTAGTGCCAAAAAGCCCACTCTCACTCAGAACACGTCCAACCAGTGGGAAAAGACATGGCCATGGGTCAAAGTCCCGTACCCCCAGTGAATATCCCAATCCCCACTAAAATAGACTAAAATGGGTCGCGCACCTACCCCAAAAAGGGTAGGTAGTTTTGACCCACAGCCACATGTCAAACAACACGTCCAAAGAAGTCGAGGCGCGCCGGCCCTTTTTCAGACGGAACCCATGCGATCGGATCTCAGCCAAGCCGTGGCTCAAGATTCGCCCTCAAGGTGCTCATCCAGAGCTGCAGCTGCACAAAGTAGCAGGCGGCGGCTGCGTTGTCGGGAGACCCGCGGATTTCCAGGATGGGGAAGGAGTCCGCACTGGACAACTTGACTCCGGTCTGAGGGAAGGGCGCGGGAGGCGGAAAGCTCGTGGGGTCTTTGCTTTGACTGATTTAACCGTGGGCCGAAGAATTGGTGACACCTTCAAGTTGGTTTTACCGATTAACAACCACTCCCCCTTGGGTTCAACGAAAATGTGTCATATGGAAGTGCCTCGGCGTATGTTTAACGCTCCGGGCCTTCCTCGCTATGCCGCTGGCCTCGCTCGCCATCCATCTGGCAGTCTGCTGGTCCGGCAAGGCCACCATCAAGGGCACAGCCGCCGGCGGAGCTTCTCGCGCTGGCTCGGCCGAGGTCACCGGGGTAGCTGCCGGGGCTGGGGCCGGCGCGGCCGGCGCTCTGGGCTCCAAGTTGGGCTCGAAACGGGGCCGCGCCTCACGGGCTTCCTCCAGTCTCCCGAAGTGCGGGGAGGAAACCGCAGTCAGCTCGGAGACTGCGGGGGCGCCCTTGCCCTTGCCTTTGGCCTTCCCTTTGGGCCTGTCCTCCAGGGATGCTCCAGAAATTGCGGGCCCTGACCTAAAGCTAGGTGAAGCAAGCCGAGGCCTGGTTACATCAATTGTTTTCTGGTAGTTATGACTACTGGATCAATCAACAAAACTTACAGGAGTCTTCAACCCAGGGTACCGTGACCCCAGCCCATTTCGTGTTGACAAGTTTCTTGGGGATTTCCACTCCTTCCACAAACTGTAATTGTGCATTCTAGGGCCAGTAAAAAGCTCCACAGATTGCCTCCACCACCCTTCGTTTTCGGGCTTGGGCTCCCTATGTGGCCAGAAATGCTATAATGTAAGTTGGCTACCACTCAGGTCGACGAGTTGCGAGCCTCTGACTATGATCCATGACCGAAAGCTCATCTCGTTTTGCCCAAATCAGTTGTCCAAGAGTCGGTCTCTCTTTCAAGATGCTCCTTTTGGCACTGTCGTGTTGCCAACAAGTGAGTCGCCAACGGGCTGTGTACACGTTTGCGTCTCCAAATGGAACGTCAGGTGCCAACAGGACCAAGTTGCTTGTGGGCCCCAACTTTTGCTAGCATCCCCCAAAAGCTGGTGGTTGCCCTGAATTGATCGTAACCAGACCGACGATCACGCGAGCTCACAGGAAATCTGAAGGAAGACGGGCAACAAAAAAAACACACAGGCAAGTCAAGCGGCGAAAAGCAACAAAGCCAATAAGGCTTAAAAGGTCCGGCCCCATCCTGCCAGTTTATCAGTGACCCTGGCAGAAAAAGACGATTGCTCCGAAACGAAGAGCAAACAACACTGTTTGAAGGCGACAAGCCTTAAGAAAATCTGGCCTCTTACTGAACAACTGGGCCGTTGTTTTGTTTTTCCCCTGGCGCGCCCCCTACTGGGTCATTGGAGTCGGAATTCGTGTCTTTTTCTCACTTCCTGAGTTGATTGGCCAAAACAAGTACCCAAACTTTACATTTGGCCACCAAACCAAAAAATGACCAAAGTCAACATGAAGTCAGGGAGTGAGAATCGCATATCTCCGCCCCCAGTTGGGTGGTTTTTGAGCTTGGTAAAACGGAGGACAGGGGTGCGATTCCAAATCCAAACCACCAACTAAGTTGTTTTTTTTTTTTTTTTTTTTTTTCCGCCTGGCAAGGCTCGTTAAAACAAACCAGGATCTGCGGTTTCCCCTCAAAACCACCTTAAAAAACCATGGGTATACCTCATAGCAATTTGTTTTAGGGGTGGGCCACAAATCCTAAAAAGACGAGCCACCCACGTCACGATGAGAGTTGGGCCCAGTTATAGAGTGTATACTATATTTTGTTGTTTGCTTCACATGGAGTCACTGGTAACATGTGAAATGTATCCTAAGTCTACCCGAGACTGCACCACCTACCCTGGATTGGTGATTCCCCTGTGAATGCCAATGGGCGTTATGGTTTACCCATGGTTTCAAAGCGGTGCGAAATGGATTTCGTCCATCCACAGGATGTCTAGTTTTTGTCTAGGCTCCAACAACCAACCAGACCTGCGGTATCCTCTCAAAACCACAAAAAAAAACATGGGCACCACGGGAAAAAAGAAAAAAAAAAACAAAAAAGACGAGCCGCCCATGGGTTTCCCCACGTCCTCCTCTTCTTCCAGCTGCACTCGGGGCGGCGGCTCCGCCACCTCCCAGGGCTCCAGGCAGCGGTGCAGGCGCCAGCCGCTCAGCGCCACGGCCTCCTCCGGGCCCTCCATGCCTCCGCACGAATCGTCGTGGCGGGGTCGCCTGGTGCTTTTTTGTTTTTGTTCTTTCTTCTTTCTCGTTGTTGTGTGTTCTCTCCTTTTTTCCTCGAAATCGGGGAAACCATGATGAGACAATACCATAGGCCCAGTGGTGATAAATCGGTTCCCTTTGAGCCAACAGGGGATTTTGTTTAAAGAAGTCAGAAAGTCATTTCAGAAAATGGAAGGTCAGGAAGCTGACGGGGTGCATATTGAAACCTCACTCATTGGAGATTTGTGGAGAGCCTTCCAGCAACAGCACATGCCTACATCACCCCGCAAAAAGGGAATCTTGCTAATGTTGATCCCGGATTAATAAACCCCTGTTTATTAATATGGGGGTGTTCCCTCCAAAAGTGATAAATCCCCACTAAATCCTGGGACACCCCCAAAATAAACAGGGGTTTGTTGATCCTGGGTCAACATTAGTTGGCAAGCAACACGTGGTGTTCAAACACAATGGAATCCACTCTTGAGGAATCACATGGAGCACTGCGCACTTCATGGTTGCACGACTTGCAGGTTCAGAGTAAATCATCCCTACGCTCAACAAAACTCACGCTACCCTTAGTCCCAAGTCACCTCAAGTGGTGTCTAGGGAAACGACCTCGTCTGACTTTGAGAATTACCCTCCCCTACCTTTTTCGGGATCCTGGATTGGGTCATTTAAATGAAATGGACCATTTCTCTGGAAGGTTCCATGTTATTTTTAAGACAGGCGGGCACTTCGTGCAAAACCACCACAGCACGTACCACAAGTGCGGTGGCGGTCGAGATGCTCACCACACAGAGGTGGAACCCATCTGCTGCCGCCTGCCTGAGCTCGCAATGCCGAAAGGAGGTGCTCCGCACCATGGGGGAAAAAACGTGCGATCGGTGCGATAGGGGATGTGGTTGAATGAACCCAGAAATTCGCGAATAAAGGAAGCCAGCAGCTGGATGTGTCTTTTTTTTTGGGGGGGGTCATTCCATAACTCTCATTCCCTACTGAGAACCAGACAGAAAAACATGTTCCGCAACGGAAGTCGTGCCAGTTGTTGGAAGTTAGGGCAGAAGCTGCAAAGCTTTTCCCAAAAAGCGAAGGCTGGGCTTCCGCCCCGCCATTCGATTCTTTGCTTCCCCAAGCCGGGGAGGGGCAAGGAGCTACCCTTGAGAAAAATGGAAAGGCGACATGGAAACTTGATGGACAGAATTTGGAGGCGCATGGCGATTGCATCCAGGCCCTGCTTGGGAACGTGAAGTTGGGGGTCATGGCCCCATGCAAAACCCTACGCCCTCCAATGAAGCCTGTAATACAAAGAGCTCTTTGACAAGAAATCGAAAGCCTAAGGGGCACCAAAACAGGTGTACAAGAGTGCTGCAGGAAAGGCTTTCAAGCTGATTCACTCTCCTTTGAGTCTCGCTGCTCTTTTTCCACGACGCTCTGCTACGAGACACTCATTTGTTCTCATGTACACAGTCGCGCCATGAGGTGGGTCATTGAGAGCACTGCTGTGGCTGCTTGACTTCGCAGGCGCTTCAAAGAAGCCCTATTGCAACCTGTCCAGTCGAGCACCCGCATTCTTTCGTTGGCGTTGCCAAAGCCCAAATCACGGCCGCCCAGAATCTCGCAAGAAAACAACCTCAAGCAGCATGAGCAAACAACATGAACAATCCGTTCCACCCATGAAAACATAAGGCGCCATGAAAAACTCGAACAAAACCAGCTCATGCGGGTCACTGGAGGAAAAGGCCCTTTGTTGCGCCGGTGACGGGATCCCGGCACAATGGGCACAGCGGAAGATCTCGCCCAAACTTGTGGCTGTCCTGACACATGCCGCAAATCGCGTGGCCGCAAGGCACCAGAACCACCACTGGCAGCGTCTCCATGCAAATCGGGCAGCTGCTCGAGTGACCGCGGGCGTGGCACGTCGTCTTGCGCTTCTTGCACGTGGCCTCGGCCTGTGCCGTGGCTTGGTCCCACTTGGCCGTGATCATGGCACAATGCCCTGCTCCACCGTGGAACCTCCAATTTCCCACTTCCACCACGCCCCCCAGGCTCCGGAGACAGTCCGCCACTTCTCTGGCCACGTCATCTTTGCTCATGGACCAGGTGCCGGAGTCGTCCAACACAGGCATCTCCCACTCCTCAAGTTCCATCGAAGCTTCAGCATGTCCTGCATCCGCACGTGCCTGGCACACTTTCTTAAACTTCTCAACCCACGCCCTGCTAAATCGCTGACATGCTACAATGTTCGCCGCCTTCCTCCTCTCGTCCTCGGCCCTCTTCCTCTCCTGCGCGGCCTGCGTTCGGCTCTTCAGCTGCTCAAAGAAGGACATTGCGCGCCCAGGCTTGTGCTGGAATCGCAGTCGCTAGGGCAAGAGAGCCCAAAAATGCCAGCGGCGCACACTTGCCCAATCCGAAACTGCCTTCTTTTGCTTCAGCCTCGTGTCTTTCATGCCAAACGCTTCAAAGTTGTTGCGGTTGCAGGTCGCTCTGCAATCCGCGATTGAGATCTGCGGTTTTGGCGGCTAAACCGCAGACTGGTGCGTCCCGTGGCGTCTCCTGTTCTTCATCTTGGCTGGAGACAAGGGCCGCACCCCTGACAGTGGATGGATAGAAACTCCCATTCTAAAAGGGCTGACAGTGAATGCTTGGGGGGACAATCAATCCAGTCCTCAACCCTTCGGAGGCAAAGGAAGCCACTTCGGAGCTTGTGAAGCTTCCATTCTTCTTAGGGCACCCGTTTACTGGGCCGAACTTTGGCTCCTTGCAAAGTTGACTTCTTGCTTGTCTAAAAGGGAGATGAAGGGAAAACAGTAAGGCAAGAAATTCAACAGGTAGGCTGAGTCTAGTCTGGCAACCTTACTTCGGATCCTCTGGTAAAGCCGCCTGCCCAAACTTGTCCCAACTAAACACCCGGCTTCAAGGGGACAACGCACCTAAGCTTGACTCGCTTGTCCAAAGAACCTGGAAATACCCGGCGATCACCTTTGGGGCCACCATGGGCGGGGGCGCCGGAAAAAATTAAAATCAAGCTGCGCTTCCAGCTGCACCTCCGGGAAGCTACTCTGCTCCGCCTGGAGAAGGATTTTTGCACATGTGGTGGTTTTCCTTGTTGGCTTCTGCCCGGGTGATTTTTTCCTCCGCAAGAGCCAAGGTGCAAAGGGCCGCAGCCCAAAAACAGCACCAAAAAACAGGAGCCCGGTGGTGTGGAGGCTTGGCATGGTTTCCCAGTTGCGCTCAAGAACAAGGGGGTCAAATCCAAGCCCACACAACGACCAATCCTAACCACCAATTAAGGGTTACCACAGAACATCTGCCTGCGGGATAACAATTAACGACTTAAAGAGGATTCATCTCAACAACGCAAACAGGGATTTGCAGAACATCGATGGGACGCCCTGCAACCGATTTTAGAGGATCAGGCCCAACTGTGTGCGTCTGGAATAGGTGCTGATACAGAATTACCTCTTATGTGTCCATTACCTGTATGACAAAGGCAGTGTATATGGGTATATCAAGAGTACCTAGTTCAGGGGCACAAGGTGGCTGGACATGCGTTTGGAAAAAATCGGGCACGCCCGAGCAGGCTAGCTTCCATGTTGGCACTGTGAACTCCATCCAGAAGGGTCCCCAAGTATTGAAACACTGCCATGTTCTCCATCCCACCCGCAAACAAACTACCAGTCACACACCGCCCAGCAACACATCACCCAGTAAGAAGTCACCAACTTGGAGGACAAAACGCAAAAGTGGCAAGATAACATCCAACCATCAAGACCACACTAGACTGGGTGTTCAATAGGAGTCTCGAAACATCTAACAAATCCATCCCCTTTTGATTTCCCTCTGGTTAAACCAGCACAAACATGGGCTAATCAGCACCTCACTTCCTGAGTGGAAGGGCTGAACAAAGTCCAAACTTTGCATTTACCGCTAAAACGGTCTTCCCAAAAACTTGAGCCTCCATTTGCTTAAGTCCCCTGGGAAAAAATAAAAAAGAAAACCTACATTTCCAGTAGTGATAGATTCCTTTAAAACCAACAGGGAAAATAAAACAATATTCCTAACCAAATGGAAGTAAGGGTCCATGAACTCAAAGGCCGGTCTCCGAAGTTTCTCGCCTTGAGCACAGGCTCCAGCTCCGGCCACCGCTCCGCCGGGAAGAGCAGCCGCGCCTTTACCGGGCGCAGGCCCTCGCCCTGCCGCTCGGACCGCTCGGACCGCTCGGACCGCTCGGCGGAGGGCTCCTGTGGTTGCCGCTGGTTCCGCCGTCTATTTAAATAAACTTTTTTGGGGGGGTTGGTGGAAAACCCCGCTTGATTTCAGCCAAGAAGTTAAGGTCTGAAGATCCAACCCAATAGCAGTCATGTCAACGATACCCTCCCACCGAGTGTCCCTGCAAAAGGAAAATGGTCCAAGCCAGCACCCCCGGTTCCACATGAAAAGGGTGGGAGGGTAGAAGGTCTGAATTCCCAAGCAACAAACAAACTGCCCTCAAACTCTCTCCCCCTCCCAAAAGCACCCTAAAAAAGCTCCCCCCCAACCAAGCTGCCCCCCAACCAAGCTCCCCGCCCCCCCAAGCTCCCCCCCAGACTCCCCACGCCCTCCCCTCCTCGTAGCCAGCCTCCTCTCGCGCGATGGCGGCGTTGCGCGTGGCCAGGTCCCCCAGCACCAGGCGCAGCACGCGGAGCCGCTGCGCCAGGCTGGCCATCTGCGCGGAGCAGATCCGCTCCGTGCAGTCCAGAGGCGCCATGGCGTCCTCAAGCTCGGGCTCCGGCCCCGGTTTCGCGACGACCCCAAGGGAGACTGAAACCGAGGGGAGATGTTGCCAGGAAAACCCCTCAGCTTAAGTCTACAAGGCTTCACAAAAACTCCAAGGTGTGGCTGGGGTTCGGGTCTTGTGACGACTGGACTCACTTCCGATGGAGTGGATTGGGCAACGCAAGTCCAAAGTGTGTTTACTTGCAATTGAAACACTCTCTTCCCAAAAAGCTTGAAGTCCAGGAACTTAGGAAGTGAGTGGGGGTATCAAGGTCAGAAACTGGGGTGGTTTTCCGTCAACCTACCACTTTGGGGGTGACTTGGACAATGGTCACATAATAATGGGGCTAGTGCAAAGGCATGTGAATAAACAGCATCCATTTCGGACCATTTGGTGGCTTATCAACCAGTTTTCATAGGCTAGGCGTCCAAACTGGTGGACAGCATCCATCCACCCCCTTTTCAAGGTTTTGCGTTGGCGGGGGGGCTCTTCAGCACCCAAGGCAACCTCCTATTCTTGATGGTGCGATAGGCAGGGACTCAGAAATTGAAATGGAATGACCCGTGTAAAGTTGAGGGGACCAAAGCCTGGATTCATTCCCACGTTCCCTACCTATCGCACCAGCAAGTATTGACACACAAATGTTTCGATGAACATATATATATATATATTTAGTTATTTATCTATACATTTTTGTATATATGGGCAGGGGGGTCTGCACGGGCTTGGCCAAGCCCACTGACATGGTCCAAAGCCAAACAGGGATAACCTTCCGTCTGCTTTTTCGCCCCCTGGGAAAAAAAAAAAAAAAAAAAACTCCAGTAGTGATAGATCCTTAAAAACCAACAAGGGAAAATAAACAGTGCTTGAGCAAATGGCAGCAACTAATGGATGGTCAGAGGACAACCCAAGCCCTGTCCCCTCCGCTTTTACTTCAGCTTTGCCCAGCTTCAAATACACAATTTTTGATCCTGGCCCATTTGTACTGAGCCTTACCCGCTGTCCAACAATCATGAAAGTGGACAGGAGGGAATTGACAGTAGACTATCCTCTTCACAAGGGTCCACTGCCATCGTCAGAAAAAGGCCAAGCAACATTTCACAAAAAAAGTTAAAGTCCGACGATCCAACCAAATAGCCATAAGGCCACAAGGGTGTTTCATATGGGTATGGCTCTAAATTCGAAACCTGGGGCTACGCAGGTTTTAGTCTTTGGTTCCATTTACCAAGGTGCCATTTTGGTGCCACTTGTTTGAGCCACAGCCATACTGGACGTTGTCCCCATCCGACCTCCGACCCGGCGCTTCGTTCGAGGTGCGTCGATGGAGACCAGCGCCAGGTCGCGCAGCCGCGCCACGTTGGCGCCCAACTTCCCCACCACCGTGGCCGCCTGCGTTTCAAATGGGTGGAACCGCCAAGGGGCAGCTGAACCCTCCCCCCCCCCCCAAAAAAAAAAGAAAAAAAAGAGAAGAAGTGAACCCCCCCCCCCAAAAAAAAAAAAGAAGAGATAATTTTTCCCCTGCTCTTCCAACACCGCATTCCGTAGAGGATCCCCAGACCGGTTGGATTCGAATCCACCCGTTTCGCCTACACGTTTCGGTTGCAACCGTGAAAGCAAGGAATGATCAAGATAATCAATTCATTAACAATCAAAGATGCTTAAATTGAGTAATCAATTTGCATCAATGATGAATCAATGAAAATGATTAAAGATACAAATTGCATTAATTTATGTATTTTCAGTAAGGCCCCTTTGTGAGGGGGATGTGCCCCTTCCATAGATTTCTTAGAGGGCGAGGATGCGGTCGGCCAAAGGGTCCTTGCCATACTTGGTTCCGTGCGCTTCCCGCTGAGCACGCTACGCCTGCCTCCCCTTCAAGCAAACAAACAGTCATCTTGCCCGTTTCAGGAAAAACGTGATCTGCCTTTTGGGCCCGTTTGAAGTGAGTTCTCTTTAGGTGGGGTGGTGCTGAAGCGGGAAAATAGGGAGCCCGAGCCCTTTGGATGGTCAACCAACACAAAATATAATAACCATAGTCATTTGGGGACTAACCCCAGATACATGCATGGCTATAACTGCTAAGTTGGTTGAACATCCGCGTTAACCTGGGTGAAACATTACCCTACCCACCAACATGAAACAGTTCAAAACTTGGCTGCTCCCAGATCCCCCGCTAAAAGTTTAACTTTTTCGTGGGTTAAATGGAAATCTACCACTAAACCAACTAGCAACAACTTAAAACCACTAAAAACCACTGAAAGTCACCAAAAACCTAAGGAACCGGATGGCTGGGGCTTGCCACGAACCCGATGTTAGGGGCAAGTTGCCCAGTTGCCCCGCCTCTCCCTGAGCCAGCAGGATACGCAAAGGTACCTCACCCCGGCCAGCGGCGGCCGCCTCTGCCTGCCAAGCTGCAGGGCAAAGCAAAATCCAAGAAGGATACCCTCAAAAATTGGCACGCCCTCTTTTAATGAATTTGAGTTTGGGCATCATGTGTTTTGTTTGTTTTATGGATTTGAACTTGGGAAAATTCTTGGTGGACTTGGTTTGAATGGGTCTTTGCGCCCACCAACCAGTGTTGTCAAGTTTTCCAAATAAATTCAAAGCCAAATGGGTTTGCATGGACAAGCATGGAACTTTTTAGCAAAAGCGTTGCCATACTCTCAAACAAACACACATGGAACTTGGTTTGGACTGGGACATGCTGAGGCTGAGGCCATTTGTGTCCGTACAAGAATGGCCAAGGGTCAAAATCCCGTACCCCTGAACATCCCAATCCCCACAAAAATAGGTTCTAAAATGGGTGGTGCTCCTACCCCAATATGGGATCCCATTGGTTTTGACCCACAGCCGTATAGTCTCCAGCAAACATCCTGGAGACACTCTGGGATTCTGAGGGTTCCAGCTTGCCTTTGCCTCACATCCTTTCTGTGGTTGGGATTGAGAGCACACTATACCTTGACGAAGGGACCTCCTGGTCGAATCAAAACCAAACAACTGACGGCTTTTCAGAAGCTGCTTCTGTCCTCACATCCCCGGCTATTACTGGACCAACTAAGAACTTAAAAGCCAAAAACCTAGGGAACCGGATGGCTGGGCTTGCCAAGGCAGGTGATGCCAAAGCCCAAGCTTTGGGCCACGAGGCATCCCAATGAATTGCCGGCGTGGAAGTCGTCTCCGACTCGACCACCTTTAACGCCCAACCAACCTCAAGATCGATGTACTGAAATAGAAACAAAACGGTGATATCCCCAACCGCCCGGAAACCAGCCCGAACCCGAACGAGCCTATTTGGGCAAAGCCGACGCCATAGCCAGCTTTTGGTTGGAAAAACAATTGCAACCACCACCCGGCCCCATAGCTTCCAGCTGTTGGAGAGATTCAATACAACCTTCCAGTCTCCCACTGGAGGAAAAACCAACAACCTCTTCAAGGAAAACTCCCAGCAACCAACCAACGGCAGGCAACCCACCCCTTTTACGAGCCTATCTGGACCTATCACCCCCATAGCTTGAATGAGAAATGGAATGAACCTGGGGATTCCCGAATTTCAGGAAAGCCCCCCCAACGTTGGATGTTTTTTTCTTTTTCTTGGGGTCATTCCCTCATGCCCTGCATCTCTCGAACGCACCGATCGCAACCAACAGCAAGCCTCTGCAAACGTCGACGGCCTCGCGGCATGCGGATGCCCCGCCTTGGCCTGGCGCATGGCGGCCTCCTCCTCAGAGGGCAAGGCCTCCCGGAGCTCGAAATGCTCCGGGCGCAGCACCTGCCGAAAAACCGGGGAGGGGTCGGTGCTCCTCGGTGTCTGTCAGCCTCCGCCGCGTTTTTTCTCTCTCCTTTCTTTCCAGGTGCTTTCTGGGTGTTTAGACGTATCTCGTTGTCTGTTTTCAGCCCCGGCCCCCCCAGTTGGTTCTCCTACTTTCTCGGGGAACTGTTAGCTTCATCCTTTTGGGGGTGGCAGCAAGCCTGGCGGATTTCATTATACTGGGGTCCCCCCAAAAGTGAAGGAGTCGCGAGAGCCTGAACGGGCCCTATTTCCCAACCCCAAAGCAGAATGGGAATCGACGACAGGGTCATGTACGACACAGCCTCCCGCGCTCCGCTCCAGCCTCAGAGCCCACCAACTCCTTGAGGGTGGACTGGAGTCGCCACAGGGCGGCCTGGGGCAAAACATACCAACCATGGGTCCACCATTCTCAGGAACACCCTGGTCGAAAAATTAATGAAGGGGTTCATCCCCCCCCCCAGCCAAAAAGAAATGATGTGCCAGTTCCCATGACAAAAGCGCACGCTTGGGAAAGGGCCCCTTTTATTGGTGAAAAACCGTGCTTCAAGGTCACGTGGCACAAGCCCACTCGGTTTGTGGATGAAGCCAGGCTGATGTTTGGTCTCCGCGTTGTGAGAGCCCAACCCTGGGTTTCTATGCTCAAGCTCGCAAAACCCTGTTGTCCCAGTTCTGACATGGGATTCAGGTGTGATAGCTGGACTGTCAACTATGTTCCAATCTGACGGTGGCATTTGCAAATAAGTGGGGATCCTTCCAAATGGTCACCTCCGCGCCGCATCCCTCTGCAACGTTCGAACAGTTCTGCCGTCGTGCATCTCCCAGTACATCAATTAGATAAGTCAGACTACTTGGGTGATTGTCCAAATGTCGCATTGAGTCACCAACATCCAAACAAGGCGTTCAAATTTTGACAACTCTCCCCACCCACTCTCCGCAATTTGGCCCCCGGACCCAAATGTCCATTTAGCCAAGGCAAAACATGTGACTTCTAACAGCGCCGTCTTGCACATGGGCATGGCTTTCTTTGAGGGTACCCCTTTTCCTGGTGGCTTCAAAAGAAAAATCGAAAAGGAGAGCCCTTTTCTCCATTTTGGGGGGTCCCAGACAGGGTTCCACTTTTTGACCAACCCCAGGTAGACTCAAAATTCGGGGTGGTTCATGTCCTCCAAAAGGAGACCCCAGGGTTAAGTCTACCTTGGGTTAATCAAGTTAATCGCCCTGGTCCCCTAAAACGACGCCGCGGTTCTCTGAAGCCCCAGAACCGTTGCTGGGCTTCAACGCGTGAGGCCTCGATGGGCTTCCGGTCCCGGGCCAGCAGCTTCACCCGCTTGTGCCCTGCGATGCCCGCCAGCGGCTCGCGGGACACCTGGACCTGGAAAGCACGCGGAACTCATCTCAGTGGCCCCTTAGGGACCCAGAAAGAAAAGCTTAACCTCTTGGGGCCTTTACTGAACATGGACCAAAGATGGGAAACCAAAAGGTCAAAAGGTCGGCTTTGGGTTGACGTTGGAAGAAGGGCAAAAAAAAGATAATTTTAGCATTTAAGTTGTTGGATTCCAACCACTAAACCACAATAAGCCAAAATGTGAAATGTTTCGCAACAACAACCAAGATGATCCAAAAGTCCTGTCTTCTCATGATTGTTTGAGGTCCGCTTGACCCTATCGTGGCATAGCAACTTTTGGAACAACGCGTGGGGAATAGAATGCAGCAAAGCAATGGTTGCGCGTTGACCGGGTTGAGCCCAGCATCCATCATGATGCAAGACATTTGGTGTTACTCTCACAGACTAACATGGAACCCAACCATCGTGTGCATAGAGGAATCTTCTTTTGGGGGACCCCGTTTTTGGGTAGAGGAGTATATGTTGGTAGCCTAGGCAGCAGGCTGCGGGTGGAACCAGAACGAGACGTGGATGGCCGGCTGCGGGAATTCCCCTTGCGATCGGTGCGATAGGTAGGGAATGAGGGAAGGATCCTGCAAATTCCCTTAAAGGGAATCACAGGGGATGGTTTATCTCTAATTTAATTATAGGGGTCAGTCCGAGTCATTCCCTCATTTCATGCTGAGCACCAGCAAGTCAAAAAGCAGCCCAACGCACAAGAATAGGCTTGACACTGCGGATGGTTGCAAAATCCATGTTGTGAGGCACCACCGTTCGGAAACCCGTGCATTCAATGCGACCAAGAACACGAGTACATCAAAGCCAACAGGAGACCAGCTTGCCATCTTGGCCATGGGAAGCACACAGGCTATCTCATTACACAATGCTGGACTATACAATACCTGCGACAGGGGTTCTACAAGCAACGTAATGGGTTGATCCCCCTGCAAATGCCAACAAACAATGGTTTGGCTTGGTTTCCATTTGTTGCAGGACTTTGTCCATCCGCAGTATGTCACGATCGTTTGATTGCGCAGCGAAACTCTGAGGCAAATGCCAAAATGGGTTTGCTGAAGGATGGCAACCTGGGTTTGTCTGAAGAAAATTCAGCACGGGTTAGCTTCCTGTTGGTGTCCCTGTAAATCCGACCAGAAGGGTCCCCTTGCAAAAAACACGGTCCGTCGTCGCAAGGCGTATGGGAGTGAAATGACTAGTAACAATGCATCCTTTCTTCCGGCTAGCTGCCAGAGTTCATCTCGTGTATCACATATCTATCATATGACTTATCTATCTATCTATCTATCTATCTCTACCTGTCTATCTGTCCATACGTCCGTCCGTCCGGCCGTCCGGCCATCCACCTATCTACCTATTGATCTATATAATTCATTTCATGTATGAATCTGATTGTTTGTTTCTGCATGTGTTTGTTCCATTGATTTATTTAGCCGTGTGGCATTCGTTGGTTTATGTGTTGTCACGATCGATTGTGGCTATGTTCCAGCGTGGTGATGTAGGTCACGCTCAGCAGTTCTGTTGATATACCGCGGTAGTCTAAAGCTTGGGAACCCTTTTCGCTCGATGTGCCTGACAATGGAATCTCACTTTGTTCGCAAATGGGGAGCCTCCAAATCAGCTGGGAACCAAATCACAAGCACGCAGCCCTGCCACGTCTTCTTGATTTGCTTGCAGTTGGCTTCAAAAGGGGCGCCGAGGGGAATGCAAACACATCCGTGCCGTGGCAACTTCTTGGCAAAGAATCAACACTTCAGGTTACAGCTTCAAACTACCAGACCCATCTAGCCGCAAATTTTAGTGTTGGTTAACATTTTCAGAGGGACTCCCCATGTCAGGTCCCCCCACACAAAAACAACAAAAAAAACAAAACACAACATACCAGTCGTGCGCATTTTACCGCCCGCAGATTTGCCTTGCAGCCCACCGGGGAGGGGGGGTGTTTCGGGGCCTCGCAGCCCAGCTCCTCGATGATGGCACGGATGCGCTCCCCGCCCTGGCCCACGATGCCGCCCCCCGCGCGTTCCTCGCGCGGAACGCGCGGAACGAGGCGCTGAGGCGGAAGCGACGAGGGACGACGCGGGCTCCCAAGATCGTCCCGCGCTCAGGGGACTGCATCCAGGGTGCAGCAAACAAATGCCCTGTTGCGTCCCTTTAAGGGGGCATGTTCGCAATGATTGATGGGCACAATCCAGGAGATGCCATCCACAGTATGGAAATATGCACACTAAGAGACTATTGGGCACGCCCAAACCCGAACTGGGCTGTCCTCAGACCCCCTGCTAAAAGTTTAACTTTTGGTGGCTTAACCCCCACTAATCAACTAAAAACCTAAGCTCAGGAACCGAATGGCTGGGAACCACTGAGCCAAGAACCCGATACCCTTTCACAATCAGGTTTCAAAACAGACCCCGAAGTGTCCAAGCTCGCCTCCCTCCTCAGAGCCTGGGACCAACTTGTGACTCATCGCTTCAAACGGGTGGATACTTTGGCCAGTCAGGTGGCAAATTGAGGGCCCAGCGGGGCAGGTTGACAGGGCCTTTGGCCAGCTTGGTCCCTCATTCCCATCTGGTTCGGGTAGACCCCCTCCTTTTCTGGCCTTCGACAAATGTGTATGAAAAAGGCCTGGTACCTTCAACCACTCCCCACTTTCTGCGCTTGTCGCTGACGCATTTGTGACTGGTGAGCTCATTTTGGCCCAGCACTGGACTTCTTTGGATAGCCATCTATGCGTTTACTTGAACTGCGCCATTCCCGTACAACCTCAGGCTCACCTCCCTTCAGTCACAACATCCGGCCAAACAGGGGGCCTACCTGATGCCCTTCTGCCGAGGTGTTCTATATCGGTAATGATTCGAACCAAAAGCAGACCGGTCACGCTCATCCCTGTTCAAACTGACCTGCGTGCCAAATACGGGGTCCGGAAAATTTGATACCTCCACATTGGTTTCGCTTGTGAAAAAGCAAATGCTACAATTTATTCGGCCCAAATTTGCCTCTTCACGCTGCACAGGGTGCCCTCAAACAAATGCGCACCCGTCTACCCATCTACCCACCAGCCACGGGGAAACGAGAGCACCTTTGTTGGTTGATGTTAAAGAGAAACCTCCTGCAAAGGATCACAGGAGCTCCGGACCTAGCTCCCAAACTGACCCAACTCAGATGCACCAACCCAGTGAGCCGGATATAGCCACAGCACCGGGGGTTATCATCCCCTTTTGGCTCTAAGCCATTAAGTCTTGGTCAACGTTCAACCCGAAACCTGGCATTTAACTTTTATCTTTGTGAATTTGTGTAGTCAGGGGCAAAGATGTGAGATCTTAAGACGTACCAAACGTTGACCCAGAAGTGGCCTAAGCACCCACTCACTCGCTTGCCCAAAGCACCTCACAAAAGGTTAACCTTTCGGCCCTGACTAAAAACGGACACAACTTACAAACCAAACGCTTCCTCAGATGTTAGGTTGTTGTTGATTTTTTTGTGGGGGGGGGGGTGGAGTGAGCCCAAAGTAAAACAGGGTGCCCCCCTCCCAGCGTGCTGGCGGGTGTCCGGCACGATCATGTCCAGCACGTGGGGCCTTTCCCGGTCCCGGTCCGCAGTGTCCGGGAGCCCGGAGCGGTCGAAGACCCGGTCCAGCACCATGGAGACCTCAGCGCCGGGTGCCCCAAACCCCCGCCCCCAGACCCCAAACGGATAAGCCAAGTGAAGCCTTGGATGGGGTTTGACGCCCACTGAGGATGAATAAATGGAGGTGGAATAAAGATAATGGGAGCAGAGGAAAAGCCCCCTCTTCTAATTCCCAGTGGGCATTAGATAATTAGCCCGTTTTATCCGTTGGAAATCAAGAAAGTTGTCCCAACAGGTCCAGGGCCTGACCTGCCAAGACACCGCCTGCCGCAGCGTACCCTCCTCGCCGCAGGAGATCATCACGATGCACTCCTGGCATTCCCGAAAGGACCATCAAGCATTTCGGGAGATGGATTCAACTCAAGTAACACCTCAAGTAGTAACATGGATTAGTTCAAGCTGGATGTACTGTAACGTACGGGTGGAAGTAGATGGCACAATTCCCGATTGGTTTAGCCCCAAGGGAGTTGCGGCGGCTACATTCACCCTGGTGTGGAGGAACCAAACCGGTAGTTTCCAGCACGGTTCCAACTCTTTGAGCCTTGCCACCTTTGCAAGTTAGGACCAGGCGCCGCGACACATGGCCGGGGCAAACCTCACCCAAATCCGGACAAAGCCAACCTGCTGAACACACTGCATGGCACAACTTCTCCCAAAGGCTGGTGTGTAAGATGCGCCCGCAATTGCCCAGTGACCCTGGCAGCTTCTGTGGGGAACCCAATGGAACCCACCTTAAACAAAAGGTGGGCGCGTGTGCCGCTGAACACTTGGGATCCCCTGCGCCCAAGCCCATGGCTGCATTCCATGACCCTCACCCCCCAAGATGCTCAGCGGCAACAAGGGAACCTGAACCGTTTTCAGGGGTTGACCATTGTTCAGTGGGTCCCAGACCCAACCAAAACAAAACCATATTTACTGAATTTGGGGGTGGGACCCACGAAGCAGCTGGGATTTAAGGCAGGATTCATCAACCCCGTGAGTACCAGGAGGGCGTCCCATTTGAGAAAGGTTCCGGATCTCTTTTGCGGGGACTTCCCCCTATCATCTGCAAGGTTTTCTACTCCAATCCGGGGTCCACCTAAACAACCGCCCCCACCTTCCATTTGTTCCGGTTTCAACGGGGCTTCCCCGTTTCAATCAAAGAACAAAACAAGAACACCCAACCGCAACCGCGCCGAACCATTCCCCCGAACCGAACCCTTCCCGGCCGAAGGCTCCCGCGCCTGGCGGCGCTTCAGGGCCTCCGGCAGTTCGTCCTGCAGCACCCGCACGCTGTGGGCCCCTGCCATGGCGCGGATGGCCTTGACGCTGGCGCCCTGGGCGAGCGAAGCCGGCGGATCCGCTCCGAGCGAGTGCGCGAGGATCCGCGAGAGGCGCCTTGGTTTCTAGGTGTTGGGGCCAAAAGGGGGGTGAGGGGTTTTGGAAAGAAGCCATCTGAGGGTGGTTTTGGTTTTGGTCTTGATTTGGAGGGTCTAGTTTTGACGATTTGCTGGGGGTGCTTTAGCTTTCTTTGGAACAGAAGCTGAAAATTTGATCAGCAACTGGAGATTCCGCGCCGCAATTTGGCCACACCAAGCTCTATTCCTGCAGCCTCCATTGCTACCTTAATTTTTGCTACGAAATATTTTTGCTCGTGACACGTTCTTCTCAAAAAAAGGCTCGTTTCAACAGAAAGTGCTCGAGACATCCGCGCAAATGCAATTCGCTACCTGAGATTCGTAGCATTTTTTGAATTTGCGCTCGTTTGCGCTTTTTTGCGCCGATTTGCGCTCGTTTTGCACTTTTTTTGCACATTTGTGCGCCCGTTTTGGCGGCAACTTGACCATGGGGAAGAAGAAAACACGGCCGAATGGGATTTCTGCCCGAATCGTCAAAAAGCGCTCGGAAGCGAATGGGAGGCAAAAAGTGCTACGTCGAGTCAATTTTGGTATCGAACAACGGGGGAGGCAGAAATTTATGCTACGATGGAGGTTCCAGGTTTTGTTTATGTGAGGATTCGAGGCGATGCGCCTGCTTGCCAATGACGCGCGCCCCTGCGGTGGCGCGCACGATCAGCCGGCACGGCGGCACCATCGCGATCTGCGTGGTGCTGCCGGCGGCATTCGACTCGGTCTCGTCCGCCATGAGGCACGCGGAGGTTGCTTAGCCGCGGCCGCGGCCCAAATCTGAACAGAAACAACGTGCCTCAGGCTCCGGTGGCGGGCCTGTCACGTGCAGAAAAGGCAGCTGTTTACAGGAATCTCGAAACATGGCATCGTGCTTCTTGATCACTTGCTGGCTTTGCTGCAAAAAGCCTAGAGCCAGACGATAGAAACCCCCGGCCCCGAGGCCGGCCCCAGCTCTCGAGCCCCAGTTGAGCGCGCAGGAAGGTCACAACGGACTTGCGATTTACAACCTGCATTGCTTAGTTCACTTAGCGTCCATTGGTACTCGGTGGGTTTGGTTGGGATCCGTGCACAGAACCCTTTCTGTGAGACAAACATGGGCCATGCCCCATGATTACTTTATCACTTTACAGGGAGCCCCCTTGGTATCACAAAAAATGGCAAGCCGAAAGGCATACCCCGCACCTTGTCAGGCATCAGCCCGTTGTGCGGGAGCTCGCCTTGGCTTCGAACAAAGCTGGAACCTGCTATGATGTTCTCGGGCATCCATGTGGGTGTGTTTCTTGAAGATACCCTTTTCACGTTGTTTTGAGGAGCGAAGGACACCCACCCATTTGGCCACAATAGCCATGTTGCTGGGAAAGCACCCTCGAATTTCACGAGAATGGCAAGGCCAGCATCTGGGGCATCTAGGGAATCTAGGGCCCCAACGAAGGTGTAGCAGGCCCGTGGGCCAACAAGCCAGCCGCTAGCCACTTGGACGTGAGGCCCAATGCCCTTGATGGTAGTACACTAGCAATTTCATTTGGCCATGGGTCAAAACCCAAAATCCCGTAGTGTTGCCTAATTTTCTTGTAATAACATAATCTACCAAATCCCCATTTTCGCATCTTCTACCGGTTTTCAGTGAACATCCCAATCCCCACTAAAATAAAGACTAAAATGGGTGGTGCACCTACCCAAAATGGTACCATTGGGTTTTGACCCACTGCCATTTGTCCTTTGGACAAACATTGTTGGCCACGACACCTACTGCCTGAAAACATTCACGGATATGTTTTGCGCATTCATCCGGCCGTCCTTCGCACTGACATACCAAATACAGATCCGATATTTTCTTGCAACCGAAGAGCCTACACGGGATTGACACGCAAAACCAAGCCAAATGTTCTTCGGCGATGCGTTGACTTCTGCGAAACACCTCCCACCTTCATTTCTTAATTCGCCTGCCCTCTGCGCGGCAAGCCGCATTTCAGCACTGGGTGCTCATCTGGATCCTCCTGGCATTCGTTCTTGGTGCGAGGGAGGTGGCTGGGACACACCCTCCCAGGCTGAAACATGAGATGAGTGCCCACCCATGGGCTTCTGGTCCCACCGCCCTGGCTCGCCACCTCAAGGCCAGGACGTAGAATCATGCCTACCTCTGATGAAAAACAACACCCCCACACAAACCCCCCATAGTTCTCCCAACTTTTGACTTTGAATTGCCAAGTATTGCTCACCGATTTGTTGCGGTTCAATTGATCTAGTACTGCTGGAGCCTCCTCTTGAGATTTGACTTGAGGACATTAACAAAAAAAATCGGGCGCCCAGGCGCTACATTTCAAACACGACTCCTGGGGCAACCCTTGAAATGGCCCACCTGCATTGGCTGCTCGGAATCTCAGTTGCTCAGTGACCCTGGAAAAAAAGGGAACCCTTTTTGGGGAAGACCACTTTTAGTGGGGCAGCCACCAAAAAAAGTGAAAAAGTGAAGTCACTGACAAACCGAGGAAAGGGAATCCTCCCCCTTTGAATCCTACCAAGCCCCTGCTTGTGGAAGGAATCCTCCCCAACAGCTGGGTCCTTGGGCTCTCCCAGCACCACCCAAGCGCCATCTTCACTGGAGCAAATCCTGGCGAAGCACCGTTTAATTAAAGAAAAGAAGACACAACATAAGAACAAAACAACCGCCGGAAGTGCTGTGGGCCGAATGGAGAACTAAGAAACAACATTGCCTCCCCTGGCTTTTGCGGGACATTTAGTGAGCCCCCCCAATTCTTGTGGTCCCTCCTGAACTGGCCATAGACTACGGATGTTTGGACTAAATTTTCACTGGCGGATGGACGCAGAACTTCCCCTTCGCTCGCTTGTTCCGATTTGCTCTCCGCAGCCATGCCCTTTGCTCTTTTCCCAGGCCAGTCAGCTCAAGCCAGCCCAAATGGGCGAGAAGCCAAAAGGAAACCGGGGCAAACCAAAAGGGAAGGCTAAGCCCTATGGCGGGAAACTAAGAGAAGCCACCTCCCAGCATCAAATGGTGTCAAAAACACCGGCAGCTTTGGTCCAGGAAAACAGGGGGACAGTGGCTGCAGTTGGGCTTAGCCTGGGCACTTTAGCTGCTGTCTACAAGGCCTACCTCAGTTTCGCAGATTGGCGTGGCCCTCTAGAGCAATATTCCATGTCCCTCAAGACGGGGTGAGGGGCCGAATTGCTGCAGTCTTCCGCGCCAAAAGCGAACATGCAACCGATAGAGTGTCAGGGCCAGCATCCGAGCCTGCACCTGCACCTTCAGTCAAAGGCCCAAGGATTTCCCCACCCCAAAGCCAACCCGCGGCCACCCCAAACCCTGCGGATTGCCCCTGCTGCGGGAAGAAATGACCATGGCCGCGGGTTGCTGCGACCAAAACAACAAGCGGCGCCTAAAGTGGTTCCGCCGCTGCTTCCACACCGGCTGGTTCCGGAAGCGCTCCGCCAGCAGCAAGTACTCCCCGCCACACCTGAGATATGAGGGGCCGTTTGAGGTCTCCAGGCTAAACATCACATGCTGACTCTGGACATTTCAGGGTTTGCGGGGGTATGTCTGTGGGCGGCCGCTCTGCAGGATTGAGGACGAATCTGGAAATGAAATAAGGTATGATTTGGGCTGGAATCGACGTACATCGTGTTTTTTTTGTGGGATGATTGTTCGTCCGAACTTAGGGGTGCCCTCGTCAGAGTTTAGAAGAGTTGTTGTTCGTTGCATCCCCAAAGCGTGCCTTCGTAATCGGGGTATTTGTCTACTGCCTTCTCCCGCAAACCACCTTCTACCCCGGATCCTGCTTAATCTGAGGTTTGACCTTCTAGGGGGGGAGAGGGAGGGTTTATTCATCCGACCTGAACATTAGCGGAAACAAGCTCCAAGGCGTACTAGACATATCCAACACTGAAGGTTCCTTGCATGAGTCAAATACGCACCAAAAGAAGACTTGGACCGCTTTTGCTTTTTATGTGGCTCTTCGTTTGCAAGAAAATGCCTCAGGGCTAGCAATCCCGGCTTGACCTCTATTTCGGAAAAAAAACTCATGTCGCGTGAAGGCTGGTAAAAACTATCTACTTCAACTTCAACTGGCAGCAACACCGGCCGGGAGGTTCACATTGCTTGGATGGACGTTTGCCCGTGTAAGCAAGCTCCCAACACCAACATCCCCACGCCCATCCCCAACACCCATTTGGGAGCCCTTGATGATCAGCACATCTGCCAAACCACTACAGTAGCATTTACCCACTGTCACACGTACCGCGGGATTTCTGCCGTAGTCAACTTGGTAGGGGCATCAATGAACTGCACGGATTCCCAGCCGCAAACAAATCAAGCCCGAGAATGAATATGGCGCGTTGACACCTGAGCTCTCTCGCTTGAGGATTTGGCAAAGCCGCAGCTAAGGGAAACCACAGAACTACCAACAAAGCCCAAACGGGTGACCTGACCTTGGTTGCAAACACGCCCCAAAGATACAAGCTCTGACAGTTTGGCCCACTAAAAGCGCTTTAGATAAAAAAAAAAAAAAGCTACGCCCGTCAGTTGCAATCATCTTGCCACACCCAAGTGCTCTTGTTTTCGCAATTTCAAGCCCGCAGGTCACGTGCAAACTTGCCACAAGTCTTCAATCGTTGAGCCAAAACGCTCGCCTCACCTGCGGAGCTGTCCATCGGCTGGCTTTCCTCCCCGCGCGCCTCGTCTGGCCGTTGGGCGACACGATGTGTAGGCTCGGGGGCTTCGTGCTCACCAGGATGGCAGCATCCTGGCATGGTGGTTGTCAAAACCAATGGGATCCCATTTTGGTTGGTAGCTTCACCACCCATTTGGCTGGTGGCTCGGCCTAGTGTGAATTGACGATTGCCAGATTTGGGTGGGTGGACGGGTTGGTTTGGTTGGTTTGGGTGTGTGTGACAGGGGTGGGTTCGTTCAGGGTTGGTTTAGGGATGTCAGAACTCGTTCAGGGTCGGTTGTGGGTGGGCTTGCGGCTGATTTAGGGTTTGGGTCTGGGTAGGGTGGGTTCAGGCTCGCTTAACGTTGATTTGAGATTGCGTGAGGCTTGCTTAAAGGGTGGGTCTAGCGGTGGGGCCCGGCGTGACTTTTCAAGGCTGACTCAGGATTGGCTTCAGGTGGGGTTGGGGAGTGAGGATGTTCATAATTGATCTTTGTTTGAAGTTGTATAAGTTGGGTCGGGAGTGTAGAATTGCCACAAGTTGGCTCAGCGGTATTCACCTGCGTGAGATTTAGCGTGAGTTTAGGGTGGCCCCGGGCCCTATGCCCCCCCCTCCGTTCCGCCGAGAGCTGGCTTGCGCAAGCGCAAGGCGGAGAAACAGCAAAGGCCAGTAGAACGAGAGCGGGCTTCGGAGCTTGTCACTGTTCTGCTGCAGGTCTGTTTTCAGGCATACGTTTCTGAGAATTTGGTTTTTCAGATTGGCACCCTGCGGTGCAGAGGGAGGAAGCAAGGCAGCCCCAAACATGTTGCCAACTGGCCTCAAACATATCCTTGTGCCTTAGACAGGAGCCCTCTGGCTTTACCCTGGGTCCAAAAGAGCTCCCCCCGACAAATGTCAACCTTGCTCGCTGCTCAGTGGTGTCCTCGCGGAACTTGTCACCATCCAGCCGCTGCCAGTTCCCGACCATCTTGTCCGGCATCCTTAGCCCAACCGCCCCGCAAAGGATGGCAACAGTTTGTCCCAAACTCTTGAAGTTGTGAGAGCTGCATAAAGGAGTTGCATGAGTCAGTGCCTGAACACACGCACCTCCAACATGTCAATCTATGCTTCACCTCCCACTGCCAGCGTGACACATCTGGGACGTTGGCAGTCCGCCGTGCACCGTCTGGCAGAAAATGACCTAGGTGCGCTTGTTCGGGGCCTGTGGGCACCGCGTGCAAATCCGCAGGGGATGCAAATCCGCCTCAGAAACTGCGCCTACCAAAAAAATCATGCCCTTCGTGGTTGCGTGAGGCACAAGCTACCCACAAGTGCCACGAGAGGCGGGTTCCTCCGGCCCGGCCTCTCTGAAAGGCGCATTCAGAGTTGGACAGGATGCCATTCCCCAAGATCTTTACCACGACCTTCACCCAGATTTTCACCCGACATGACTCACGGCATAGGAAATGTCCATTCACTTTGCAACTGCTAGGGGGCCTTTGCTACTCACTTCCTGAGTGGACTGGCCAAAAAAGGTCTGAACTTTTGATTGACCACCAACATGGTCTTCTCAAATAGTTTAGTCCAGGAACTTGGGAAAGGTTAAGGGGGTCCCCCAAAACGAGCTTCCTCTACCAGCGCTCGCTTTTGAGCCCGTCAGACAGGAGCCGAGCGAAAACTGAAACCCGGGGCCGCGGGCGCCGCGGGTGCACTGAAACTCCTTGGCGGCGGCGTCTGTGCCGCCGATGATCCACATGCCGTTGTTGCCTGATCGATGACTTGCTGGTGCGAGTAGTAGGGAATGAGGGAATGAAGCCAGGGGTGCCCTTAAAGGAAACCACAAGAAATAGTTTGTAAGGGTCATTCCCTGGTTCCCTGCTGAGCACAAGCAAGATAAATTGGGTGTGTCGTTTCCAACCCCCCCCCAACAACGGTGGTGTTTCTTCAACAAATGGTGCCCAGAAAAAGACACACACACACACACACAATTTTGGCTGAAACGAAGTCAAGCGCCGCGAATGACAGATGCGGAGAACGACTGGAAATCAGATGGCAGCAAAACTGACTGACAGCCGGCCTGAGTAGAGCCAGCAACGGCCCCCGGTGTGCTCCCAGAGCGGGTATCCATTGGCCATGCGGTCCGCCACTGGCACGTACTCCCCGGCACACCTGGTACACTTACAGAACGCGCTAGGACCATTCAGGTGGCCTAGGTCAGCTTTCTCTTGCCATCGGCTGGAATTCAATGCTCCCAGCCACCAATCCAAACCACAAATTATGGAATACCTGGCCGTCTCCGCGTGACAGTCACACACACTCAAGCCCACAAAAACAGACATGAGCCATGAACAAATTGAACAAATGCTGAGGCTTTAATTTAAGCAACAACCAAGTAGGCAAATAGTGTTGGGGCATTCACTTTTCAAGGTGGTCGTAGAACAACCCTTGCGCCATCCGGGGGTGGTGGTGCCGGTTGGGGTCCTTTTGAGGGTACCAGTTAGGGGAAGGCTTTAAAGGAAAACCAAAAGGATCTTTA